ACTCTTATGTCTACACAGAGATCGACTATATGACAACATATCTGTTGATATCACCCCTGGCTTATCTTGCCACAAGGTGGTGCTGCTTGACGTCACCATGGTTACGGAGACATGAATATTATTCTCTCCAACTTTAAGTATCAATGATACCTATTTGGTTGACCATAACACAAAAGGCCATGACCATATAAACATTACACAACACAATTAGTTGTCAGTCTTTATTCCATACTCAAAAGTACATGATATCACCTATAAATGTCTTCACGCGAAACACACACACAATCTTACAATTACTTGGTCAGTTGGTTTTGGTTCAGTAATGGCATGTAATATTTTGATTTTAATCATAGTACCGTGGAACTCATATATTGCATAGTCCCCAACCATTAAATATTATGAGAGGTGCCCGGACATATTGCTAAAGAAACAATAATCTTTTCAAGACATCCGCTTTTTGGACACGAGGAACGTCCTATGAAAAAATTTCAATCCACACCTCAAGGTCCTACCCCACCCCCTAAATAATATCAAATGGTTGGCCTCACACATAAGGCCATAATAAATTAATCATGAGGTATTAACTCTCCATTCTCTCCTGTATCTTTTTAAATGCCTACTGATGCAGTCAAAGAGCATTCGGTTTTCCTTTGCCTGCTTGACTTAAAATACCTTCACTTCACGTAGCAATTGGCATAATAAATTTTACAGAACACATTCTTTTCTTTGTAATATTAAGATGATAAAACTTACAATTGATTTATTGAGGCCTTATCTGTGTCAACAACAAATACAATGGCAGAAATGTCTCAAGAAAAATGATTTCCAATTGAATTTCTAGATGGGTCTTACATTAACTTGATGAAAAAATCTTGTGGCTATTCAATGGGGCATATTGATCAGAAATCAGCTCCATTTCAAAGTCTGTCATCATTGACCCGTTACTCAAATGATCACCCAACTAATAAACCAGATGATCATTGACTGAGTTGGGATTAACACTGCTTAGGTTACGTCAGTCCTATCACAGAATGTCAGATTATCTGGGAGGACAATCTCATTAAAATCAGATCTAAGTTCTCGCTGCCGCTAAACAAAGATCCTTTGTTTAGCGATAGCGAGAACTAAGATCTGATTTTAACGAGATTGTGTGGGAGAAAAGCAAGGAGTAATTCAGGTCTTCGATGGTGGAAACAGATCAAGGTCAAAGGTGAAGGTATGGGATTTGAACCTATTCCCTGCAAATCCTGGTATTGGAGAGGGACACAACTCTACACATGTAGACTACTGGGTCATCCCTTGGTGTGTGTGAATACATCGTAAGCCCAAACAACATCCTCTATTGGAACAGAACAGTTCAACAATGTACTTGTTCAAATTCTAACTAGCATTTCATTTCAAAATGGTTATAATGGAAGTATTCGTTGGTTAACATATCCAATGTCTTCATGACACTATCATAACAATGTCAAATATTATTCAAATTATGTTCATTGCCATTTAACTATAACTAATGATATTCTTATCCAGATACTTCATATGGTAAGGTTTTCATTTATTAATTCAATGCAATACACATATATCTTAAAGATGGTATTGGTAGAAAACAACATACTTTTCATTAAATAGCACTGTTCACAGATACATTTTAATACTAATTTATGTTCACAAGTTTCTTTAAAATCACACAACATATACACCAATTATGTAAAGTCTGATCATACAAAAGCTGTAGGCCAATCTCACTTCACCAAACACTATAAAGCTTGAATAAATTAGACACTTACCACAGTGGTAGTACACCCAGTTGTATGTACATTGAGCTGTGTCACACATCACAACTGTGCTATAACAGGCTAACACAGGCCAACACAGGCCAACACAGACTGAACACAGGCTGAACACAGGTCAGGTAGGGCAACTGAACATGTTCTTATTCAAGTAAAGGACAGGGTATGAGTACCAGGGCCCTATTTGGCCCACAGAATTTGCATAGCTTAAGACATGAGCAAACCTTTTCGAATTTCTTACAAATAATAATGGCTTTTGTTTTTGACATAACCAAATGTACAGAACAAAATATGTGTGGCAAAGACATTTTTAAGAGGTTTTCAAGATGCCATTCACTATCTTTGAACATGAGCAAGTCTCTGGTCCCAGCCAAATTCCAAGATGTAGATCACAGATTTCCTCTTGAAAGTAGAAAAGATAGTTTTTTTTTACTAAGTACTCCATACGCCACACTTTTTAAAATCTATGTTTCACGGATTTATTCCAACTTTCCCACACAAGGTTGGTCGAAATAAAAATAAATAGCTATGTCAATCATTTAATTATTTATATGAAAGACATTTTCCTGTGGAGATAAAACTGAAGCTGGCTCCTTGAATCACTGACAGTAATGTAGACTTGGAATTTATATATAACATTTTATATTCTATAAGAGGGTCTATATTACTAGCGGGGTAGACATAATAAAAATAAATATTTTTATGTTTAATTTATTTCTTTTCCAGCTGCTTTTCATTAGGGGCGGCAGGCACATGAAACAAAAAATAAGAAATGGGTGGCCTAACTAATAATATTTGACAATTACAGTGCCCCTATAAAAGGGCATATTTATTTTCTGATCCTTTCTTCAAATGATGTGCAGAAAATCTGCAGGTTTTACATATTTGGGAATGGGAGGTGCATACTTCCTGAAGTAATACTAGTACCTGTGCTACAACAACCTGTGCTCCCATTCCTGTGGTACAGTGACCCCAACAGCCACTGTACAACACCATACTCAGAACCAGTGTGTATTCATCACTTCTCGGATGGAATTTTCACTGCCACTCTACATCAATGGGACCCTGAATCAAAGTCTTTGGTAACTAGATAGTCAACATCAACACAAATACCATCCTGCACCCGAGAACAGAGATGATTTGATGATGGTTTGGGTTCAATTCCCCACATGGGTACCACGCCGTGGTATATTGCTGGAATATTGCTAAAAGCGGCTTAAAACCCAACTCACTCACTCACTCACATTGTGTCACAGTGCTAGGCAGTCCTCTTTAAGAAGTCCCTTACACAAGCTGAACATCTTCTGGATACAAGTACTGTACTTAAGTTTGACAAATTTTTTACCCTATAAATATTAATACCAGCAACTGAGGGGACAAAAAATTCTTTTCCACTTCATAAGTCCTTGACTCATGTCAAGTTTTAAAGAAGTCAAAACAGTTTATGAATCGGTAACAAAAATGTTGTAAATGGATATATTACTTAAACAGTTAAAAATCGTAACAGCTTTGAGCAGCTAAAGTTATCTTTATACATGCCATGCAAAACAACGATGGTAGCATCCCCTAAGATACGGTTCCGCTTATATTAATAAAAGCAATTGCTTAGAATCTGCCCGTGTTCTGCACACCGACACACAATCTCTACTCTTCAGACTGGATAAAACTGATATTTGCATGTTCATGATGACTTGGGTCAAACTGATATGTCTGTTGCCTTGGCAACCGTGTAATGTGACATTGGATACATGCATCTTATGTTTGCTACCTTTTCAGTGAAGTTGTCAGTGACACTTAACCCCAGCAACCAGTGCAATGTTGGATGTCATGGAGACGAACTATCTCAGTCAAACAAGTAACAAAACCCCAGGAAAACAATTCCACGCCGATTGACATAAAGTATAAATCAAACTTAAACAACAAATGGTTGACATGTAAACAAAAAGAAAATATTCACCATAACAAACACAAAAAAAATAAACTATACAAATTCAAATTATTTACAAAGCATCTTTTCATTTAGTTACCATGGTTACAAAAAAATATAATCAAACAAATGTGTAACTAAATGCAAGATTCCCTAATCATAACCATCATAACAACTATCCCTAACATTTGAATAAAAATCTCATCATCACACCTAACACTTTGCCTGATTCGTAATGTCGAACAGATACTGCAAGCAACATATGGAACAGCCGTTAATAATACTCTCTGCAAAGCCTGCGTTACAGCGATACTACTTCATCTCAATCATCGTCAATACTTCAGGTTGATGTGTTCACTACAATCCTCCATCTTCTCTGAAAACATACAGCTGCTATGAAGCGTTGTGTTATATTACACCAATAAATCTCGATTGCTTCCGGACAGAAGCATAAGTGTGAGTGAGTTTGGTGTTAGCTTACAGTTGGAGGAAATCCCGAAATGATGCAGGTCTTAGACGTTTACCACCATGGTTAAACCGACGAGGAATGGCATGGTGCTAACAGAAGGATAACAGCGAACGCTCGGACCAATGAGAGCTCACATTACATCACCCAAATAATTCCCTGTCCCCTCTATGATCTCACAGTGGTTCTCTGCTCATCTCATACTTAATGTCCATGGTGTACATGGCTCCAAGACTTCGAGTTTCCATGGCTACCACAGAGCTACCACCTAGTAGCATCAACCCACTCAATGTGACTATCACAGCAACAAGAATACTCACATCTATAATCAATACTAAAATCTCAAGTCAAATATTACAGGATTCAAAACAATACACAAAATTTGAGAGAGGACAACCAAAACCAAAAGTGCCTGGATGATATGTAAAACCCAGGGGCAGCATCTGATACAATCTCATTATAATCAGATCTTAGTTCTTGCTACAGCTAAACAAAGAGCTGAGGACATCCCATTACGGGTCACGTCAGACCGACCTTGCGCGAACTTTGACCGACCAATGGAATGACCAATCAGAAGGCAGCTTTCTCGTGCTTTACGGCACTAATTTCAAATTGGAGACTACGCTTCGAAACATATTTTGACAAATTCTCGAATACAAATTTGAAACCTGAACAAAAAGAAGATTCTGGAATGGCTAATAGATGGTCTACATTGTATTGATTCAGTCGTTAAGCCCGTAACTATCGTTCGGAGTTAAAGTTTTCGAGGTTGCATGATTAGACATCACATTCCGACTGTCACTTTCACAATCTGGTAAGCGATGCTCTGATTGGTCGGATGAAAGGTCGTTCTGACGTGACACCTAATGGGATGTCCTCAGATCTTTGTTTAGCGGTAGCGAGAACTGAGGTCTGATTTTAATGAGATTGCATCTGATATGGAACTACATCCAGCATCAAGTAATACATGAAGCCGAACGGGCCACATATAAGCCAATGTTCAGTCTACTACAGAAATCTATGTAATTGTCGAGTGAGAGAGTAAAAATTTAATGCCTCATCTGCATTATTTGTGCCATATGGCAACAAGCTAAGTAATAGTTAACATCAGTCACAGCACTTCGACTGCTTTATACAAATGTACCCAGAAAACATACCTGTTTGAAGGTATAAAAACAATGTAAACAACTACTGCTGACGAACATCAGAAATATTGGTGTGCCCACAGTGTTTGGTGGTGTGTCTGTGAGTCAGTGTGCAATGAACATGGGAGCGTGTTGGAGTGTGCGCGGTGCAGGTGGAGTTCATGCGTGTATTGGTCAATGTGCAACGTCACCTCCTGCTGCTGTTGTCTACTGCATGGATGATGCAGATCATGCGTGTATTGGTCAATGTGCAACGTCACCTCCTGCTGCTGTTGTCTACTGCATGGATGATGCATATCATCGGTAATTATGTGATCATTAGGGCTGGGACGGGTAACTCGGGTACTTGGGTCGGGTGGGTGCTGAGTAGGACCCGGGTACCCATAGTAACAATAATAACATTCCATGGTTACACTAGTACAAGTTGCTGCTGTTCACATTTCTTTCTGACTATGCACAGCTTCCTTCTGACTTTTTTTTGAGTAAAGACAAAGCTTCTATCAACTTCAGTGTGTGCATGATCAGATCATTTTATACTATATCTTTTTTGCCAGGTCTCAGGTAAAACAATTGCCAACTGAACATTTTGTAGCCAACTTGAGATCTACAGTGGGTACTGGGTAGGGCAGGGCAATAGGGGGCTGGGTACCCGGGTAGGGCAGGGCAATAGGGGGCTGGGTACCCGGGTAGGGCAGGGCAATAGGGGGCTGGGTACCCGGGTAGGGCAGGGCAATAGGGGGCTGGGTACCCGGGTAGGGCAGGGCAATAGGGGGCTGGGTACCAAGGTAGGGCAGGGCAATAGGGGGCTGGGTACCCAGGTAGGGCAGGGCAATAGGGGGCTGGGTACCAAGGTAGGGCAGGCAATAGGGGGCTGGGTACCCAGGTAGGGCAGGGCAATAGGGGGCTGGGTACCCGGGTAGGGCAGGGCAATAGGGGGCCGGGTAGGGCAGGCAATAGGGGGCTGGGTACCCAGGTAGGGCAGGGCAATAGGGGGCTGGGTACCCGGGTAGGGCAGGCAATAGGGGGCTGGGTACCCAGGTAGGACATTTGGACTCGTCCCACCCCTAGTGGTCCTGATATTTCTAAGGTTTCTTTAACAGTAGTTTCAGTTTCATTAATGTGGTAGGTGTTCACTTAATGGTACCTGACCATAAGAAACTAAGGCAAAAAAACATACAATATTAAATCTTTCAACATATTGCTTATTCTCACAAATCAAACCAAGAAAACACAACATCAACAACACAAAAACAAAATGGAAGCTCTTAAAAAATTTCTAAATCGATGCAAACAGTAGTTCAGTGGTTTTTCTCAAGATATAACATTCTTGTAAATTGTGTGTACATATACCTCAAACAATCATGAAATGTACTGACTTCAACCAATGATATGAACCTGAGAAATGTTCACATTTGATGTGCCCAGAGGCATCCAGAAGCTACCGTGAAGGAATACAGGCTTTACAGGAATGGCTTTGGAGACATCGTATTTTGGGACAACCATGGAATGTCTTGAGACAGTATCAGCATTAACATGCTATAGGAACATCCTGTCTTCTATTCACTGATTGGAATAATATACATATGATCATATGATCCTTGTGGTGGCTTAGTCACATACTGATGAAAAGAATTAGGGAGGCTGGACCAAACAAACTAGTGATTGATATTATGAACATATGAAAAGTAACATTTAGTACTTACAAGTCAGAATCAGAAATTGATATGATTATTGCCAGTGTAAGCAAAGTTTGGGTTGGTTGGTTGGTTTGTTGTTTAACGCCGCACTCAGCAATATTCCAGCTACATGACGGCGGTCTGTAAAATAATCAAGTCTGGACCAGACGATCCAGTGATTGACATCATGAGCATCGATCCACGCAATTGGGATATGATGACATGCATCAACCAAGTCAGCGAGCCTGACCATCCGATCCCGTTAGTTGCCTCTTACGACAAGCATAGTCGCCTTTTACAACAAGCACAGTCGCCTGCAAAGTTTGGGAGTTACAACTATCACAGCACTCACTTCAAGTAATGATGCTTGGTCTCATTACAGTTTGGAAAGGTAAGGAATAAATGGATACATTCTTGAAAGATTTATGTGAGATTAAGCAAGTTCTGTGGCTAGCAGCCTTTTTTCATTCCACTAGCCCTTTCACATATTGACTAGTCATGGGTAGGGGCAAGTGTAAACACTGAGCTCATGAGCAGATACAGGTGGGAAATTCATCCTTCAGGAAATACTTGTAGCGTAGTCCTGCACTGTTTGATTGCCTTCAGTCGGTAGCCATGTTATCTGCTACCTTACACAACTACCGCAAATTATGAACATACACAAGTTTATAAAAATATATACTGTTAGATGTGATGTGTCTATGAAGATAGGAAGATGGCGGATATTGGTGCCTTGATAGTAAACTGCCATCTCTTAGATACATCAATAAAGGTCAGACGCAAATGTTAGCCCATGGCCAATATTCAGTGTCTGTGTAATGTTCAATCTCATTGAAAACGTATCCTTCACTCTGATATGATGCGTCTTGAAAATCTTAGGACACTTCTACGGGAGGTCACATGAGGTCAACCATCTGCGCTGATGCTTGTAAATTCTAAATATTAGTGATGAAATATTCCGACAAGAATATCTGATTTCTGTATCTTGAAAATGAACACAACAGGGGAGTACCATATGCAAAATAATAAAGCAGCATTATAATATTGTAGGATATTTTCCTACAATGTGTTGGTCCTGAGCGCCAAGGCATCTAAACTCTGATTGGTCAATAAATCAAGAGTATGTTTGTGATCTGTTGGGGTTTTCTTTGCTAAGATCAAAATATCTGAACAGAGGCGACAAAGAAATGAAAGCGGTTTCGAATGCTGACTTTTGATTGGCTCAAGAAACCATGTATCCTTTATTTAGATTGGGGGGTCATAGTTCACTCATGGTTCACCAGATGTGATCTTCTCTGTCTGCAGATATTCACTCAGACAGGCATTGTATCGGAGTACAAGATCTGATTTTGAAGAGATTGTTTAGCTTTAGTTTCTTTTAAACAAGATTTAAGTTTATTATTATTCACTAAGTCTCTCAAGATGTACCATGGATGGGCAAAATGACACAGAACAGAGCTTCTGATATAGATCTAAGTCTCTACCTATATCATGCTTGTATCATGAAAACAATACTCAATTAACCTGATACTGCAAATAACACTACCATACAAATTTGGGTGTTCTCCCATTAAATCATCAAAAGTTCTCATAAGCAATGTTAAATACCTTTCTACCTGCAAACAAATTTTTACTTCATAAATTTCATTCATATCCAACCCCATATATTTTGAAGGTTATTCAGGTAAAAATAATTTTCAAAGCCATACAATGAGACTTTGGGACTTTGGGACTTAGTGGACAGGGTACAGGCAATAGCTACAAACCAACAAGACTCAACGCTCAGCAAACAACATTCATGACAACTGATACATCTCAAATTATTTCTCACAAAAAGAGTATTGGTCGTTATTAACCCTGTTGTCCCCTTCTTCCACGCAAGACAGTTTGACGTAATCAAGACTTTATTCAACATGATATCGGAGGTAATCAAAGGACTGAAAGCTACACAAATCAATGTGTGGTGTTGTTCAACAATGAAATGTATCAACTGGTACACTGTACACACAATACATAGGCAAGAACCGTACACGGTAACGTGCTCACATAAATAGAGTAGTAAAATATTCACAGTTGACTAAAACTTTGTAAACAAAACGCTGATACTGACGGAAGACCATGGGTTCTGAAGGTTGTAAAACTGTATGAGTTATTCCCCTTGCTTGGGTTCAATGTTCTGGGGAAGACCACAAGGCAAGCAGTTTAATCTTGAAATATTTACTGACTCAACTTCAGGTAAACACATGGAATAGGTGAGGAATATGCTCCACAGTTTAATCCACAGGTTAAAACTTAAACTTCTGTAGCAGTATGATAATAATACAAAATAGCAACACTGTAAAAGTGACAAGGGACAAAATGCCAAGAATAATGTCAATGTTCTGCATTGAAGTATAATATTTTCACCAAGGATTATTTACCAAATGTGCCTCAGAAAGTGGCACTTATTCTGACATACAGAATTTACTAGACGACATCAAACAGTCACCAGAAATAATCAAATCACCATTTTCAAAATATTAACTGGAATCATATTCCTGGAGCTACAACTAATCTACCAATAAAGCTTTTCTATTTATCAAGACCTTAGATATAAGACACAATATAATTCTAAACTGCTACAAATCGTCTCTTTGACAAGGTTTATCAATGTGGTCAACCACAGGCTACCTGTCTAGGAGAATGATTTGATATGCAAGGGAGATAACTCACTCAGTCCTGGATATGTACGCGAAATAGTATGACACTGTCAGTTAGCTCTTGCCCTTCTTGTCCACACCAGCCTCCTGGGACCGGCGCTTCAACTCCTTCAAGGCGTTGTTCACACGAACAGTCAGGCGATTCTCAAAATCATAATCTTTGAAATTATCCTGAAGAAAAAAATCAGACTGGCCTTCAAATTGATTCAGAAAGGAACAGATACGAATAATGATGAGGACACAATTTTGTTGAAGATGCACTGAAACGCACTTGTGAAAAGTGGGTTTTTCTGCATGCAAAGGCTGATACAAATATTTTGTACAGATTATATACTGCTCAAAGAAAGTTCAGGACCACACGTTTCTTTAAAATACATGTACTATAATAAATCTGTCATACCATTCTTAAACTTATTTTGAGTAGTGTATCATATTCCTGAAGTACACCAGATTCTTTCATATGACTATTGTCAATCTGTCATGGAATAACAGGACCCGTGAAGATCCGGGGTAGAATAGGTCTTCAGCAACCCATGCTTGCCGTAAAAGGTGACTATGCTTGTCGTAAGAGGCAACTAACGGGATTGGGTGGTCAGGCTCACTGACTTGGTTGATGCATTTCATCAATCCCAGTTGCGTGGATCGGAGCTCATGATATTAATTACTGGATTGTCTGGTACAGACTCAATTATTTACAGATTGCCGTCATATAGCTGGAATATTGCTGAGTGCGGCGTTAAACAACAAAAAAACCTTGGAATAACAGATACGATGACATAATTTGAGTGAGAGGTCACATGCCAGATTCAATTATCAAACCAGAACAAATAGAGCTCCGCACAGTGAATTCGACAACGCAAGAGCTGTGCAGAGTAAACTGGCTTCAGTCTTGTTATTTTAAAAAAACATCTTGATAAGATTTGCAGCCAGTGTTTATCAAAGCCTGTCGTATGAAGCCAATCACTCTCCTACCCAGAATTCCTTGTGGCCATCCAAGTACCTCTGTCACATCGTCACATCTTACACAGTCCATTCATGTGTTTTTCATCTGTTTCATTTTGGATGAGTCAAACATCATAAAATGTTTAACTTTCATTGAGAAAATATCCTAATACATGAAAAACTATTTTCATTTGCATATTTATCCTCAGTGTCCTGTCACTGAAGCGCTACGGAGAACTAGTGATACGGCCACTTGGATGTGTAAGCTATATTGTCATGTACCTCACTGTCGCAGTTGTAGTAGTATGTAAAACACTAGGTAAAGCACACCGAAAGGCTTGCATTAGGCCTGTCTGTCCTTATTTCCGAATAAGTGTGTTTGTTTACAAACAAGAGAAAAGTCCAGTCACATGATAATCCTACACAGTCAGTGAGGTCTCTACAGCAGAAACGGAATAAGGCGAGCACAGCCGAGTAAGCTCGGGGGTTATCGACTACTGTTTACAAAGAAAGCTTCAACGGTCGACGTCATGTCCGTTTAACTATAGTCATATGAAAGAATCGGGCGTTCTATTACTTGTTTTAAGTTGTGTATATCACACACATTTGTTCTGCACACATAACCCTGTCAAGTATTGTTTTGGCATTGAATTACTTCATAAGCCCTGCCAATTTTTAGACTGTGCAAGTCTTGTCATTTGTGTGTACCAGTAAAGACGAATAAACATCATCTACACTCTGTACAGCCTTAAGACTTCTCAAATTGATTGACCCTTTACATGTTCAGGGCCTCGGTGTCCTCAAACACGGTTCTGCCGTACCGGTAAAAGTGAGAATAACTAGACACTGACCTTGATCTTCTGGAGGCAGGCCTTTGCTTCGCCAACCATCTGTAATGACATATTAGAATGTGTTTTTACTCAAAACCATATGTCTTCCCTGTCATTTCTTTTTTTATACATTAGTTCCAGTTGTTACTGCAAATGATTTTGCAAAAAAAATAACAATAACAGCAAAATATAGACTGGAAAGATAACGGTTTCATGCAGACATATTCATAAGCTGTAGAGGTGTGGCGGAAACAAATGCTACAAATGCTCCCTGTACAGGGAGTAGATCTTGAATCCTGGTTTGCAGGAGACAACATATACACCTCAATTTACTGTGAAATAAAGATCTTAATTTTTGAGAATATCAGAAAGTTCTAAACACAGTGCCCCTGTTGCTAATGGGCACACTTACTTACTTACTTACTTTGGAGATTTAACGTGCGCTTTCCGACTGATGCGTATTTCGCACACGGGCCCGGCCAGGCCATTTAATGTGTTTCCGAAAGGGGCGAAGGTGGGCTGTGCAACCCAAAAGGGGGGTTTAAGGGGTTGCTTATATAGAATTTGGGAATTTTGAGATTTGGAATAGATGCCGATGGGATTGGGGAGGAGAACTAAGGGAGCTGGGTATGGTGGATGTTGGTTTGTTTATGTGATTTTGATTTGGTAGGTTATTGTGTTTTTAGATGCGTTTTATTAGTTCCGTTTTTATTAAGAATACGCCTAAGGCCTTGAAGTTTTCTAGTTTATTTTGTGGGTTTAGTATTGCTTCTAGAGTTAGAGCCTTGTTTAGATTGAGGGTGGTTTGTAATGCGGTTCGATGTGTTAGGTAGTGTGTGCAGTGGATAAGTGCGTGTTCTGGGGTTTCTGGTTGTTTGCAGTGTGGGCAGTTACCTGTAGTGTGTTTTTTAATTTTCTTTAGGTGGTTATTTAGGTTGGTGTGTCCTGTTTGGAGTTTAGTGATTACTCTGTCGATTTTTTTGGATGGATGGAGAATTTTTGGTTTGGTTAGTGGTTTGCTGAGCACTTTTTTGATTTGGCTATTTGAGTTTAGATATAGGTTATGCCATTTTTTTGTGATTTTTTGCTTGTTTACACTTTTAATTTCTGATTTTGAGATGGGTAAGTTTAAGCTTATTTCTGGGATTTTGAGGGATAGTTTAGCTGCTTTATCGGCGTTTTCATTACCGTATATTCCTACGTGGGCGGGTATCCACAAGAAGGTTATTTGTTTGCCTGCCTTAGTTAGGTCGTTGGAGCTTTTAAGTATTTGATTTATTAATTTAGGTCGGTTTTTGGTATTTTTGTTTTGGAGGGCTTGCAGTCCACTTAGGGAGTCGGTAAGTATTAGGATTTTTTTGTGGTTTTTGGATTCTTGATTATGGAGGGCTGAGGCCATGCCCATTAGTTCTGCCGTGAATATTGATTGGTTGTTTGGGAGTCGGAAGGTAATGGGCACATACCTCTGGGGTCTTCATGTAGATAGAGGCCAGCTCAAACAGAGTGAAGGCCGGAACATGGTAGTCATCCTTTATCCCCTGGTGCCGAGCCAGCGCCTCCTTCAGACACTGTCAACACAGCAGACACAGTCAACACATGCAGCAGACACTACTGACACATACTGCAGACACTGTCGACACATGCAGCAGACACTGTCGACACATGCAGCAGACACTGTCAACACATACAGCAGACACTGTCGACACATGCAGCAGACACTGTCAATACATACAGCAGACACTGTCGACACATGCAACAGACACTGTCAACACAGCAAACACTACTGACACATACTGCAGACACTATCAAGGTTCTACTACACCAAATCAGAACCAGTTGGGACAGTGCGGTTTTCGTTAGGGAGCCTTCAGTGCAGATCGAGAGATATCTGCAGGCTGTGATTGGAGGATATTCTGTAAGATGTCTTTCAATTGTACATCCATCCAGTTATTAAAACTGACCATGTTTTTCTATATTTTCTATTTTTCAACATGATGACTTATGCTGAATGTGACCACAGCTATTTTCAAGGAGGTGACATTTGGTGCGAAACTGGGGGTGGTGTGTTTAGCTTCCTGTACTCGGAAAAGGAGCTGGCTAAGCTGGTCATTTTTTATGTTTTTATTGCTGCTCTAAGGCCAAACTGTGCACACATGTACAGGTAATAGCTGTTGAATGCTTAGTTATTTTCTAAAAAAATATAACGTTACTATAGACACATACAGCAGACACTACAGACACATACTGCAGACACTGTCAACACATACAGCAGACACTGTCAACACAGCAGACACTATTGACACATACAACAGACACTGTCAACACACACAGCAGACACATACAACAGGCCTCAAAGTTTAAATGTTTACCAAATAGCCATATAACTATCATAATATGTACAAGTTACAGCACTAGTCTTGAAATTGTATCTTAATATAAACTGTACATGAATTTTTTACTTGTGACTTGAACAATGATGCAATTTATGTTACTGGATTATACAGGTATATCCTTGCTTATCCAATGAGCATTGTCAACTAAAATAAAGCAATAATTACATTAATTTTTATGTATTTTAGTTCACTGTCGACTTTAGAAGGAATTATTTGCAAGTACAATTATTAGCAGACGTGTTTTCCAATATCACCTGTTATATATTTTTGTGTCTACAGATGTGTAGCAATAGAATCTAGTCGCCACAAGATATTTTTCTAGATAGTCATTTGGCTACCTCTGAAATTTTAGACAGTAGACAAACTGAAAATTTAAGTCGCATTGGCTACCGTTTCAGTCGCAACTTTGAGGCCTGTACACACAGAAGAGACTGTCAACACATGCCTCAGACACTGTCAACACATGCCTCAGACACTGTCAACACACACAGCAGACACATACAACAGTTATTGTCACCTCACACACAGAAGTGACTGTCCACACATGGCTCAGACACTGTCAACACACACAGCAGACACTGTCAACACAGCAGACACTATTGACACATACAACAGACACTGTCAACACACACAGCAGACACATACAACAGTTATTGTCACCTCACACACAGAAGAGACTGTCCACACATGGCTCAGACACTGTCAACACACACAGCAGACACTGTCAACACAGCAGACACTATTGACACATACAACAGACACTGTCAACACACACAGCAGACACATACAACAGTTATTGTCACCTCACACACAGAAGAGACTGTCAACACATGCCTCAGACACTGTCAACACACACAGCAGACACATACAACAGTTATTGTCACCTCACACACAGAAGAGACTGTCAACACATGGCTCAGACACTGTCAACACACACAGCAGACACTGTCAACACAGCAGACACTGTCAACACATGCCTCAGACACTGTCAACACACACAGCAGACACATACAACAGTTATTGTCACCTCACACACAGAAGAGACTGTCAACACATGGCTCAGACACTGTCAACACACACAGCAGACACTGTCAACACAGCAGACACTGTCAACACATGCCTCAGACACTGTCAACACACACAGCAGACACATACAACAGTTATTGTCACCTCACACACAGAAGAGACTGTCAACACATGGCTCAGACACTGTCAACACACACAGCAGACACTGTCAACACAGCAGACACTGTCAACACATGCCTCAGACACTGTCAACACACACAGCAGACACATACAACAGTTATTGTCACCTCACACACAGAAGAGACTGTCCACACATGGCCAACCTACCTGCACTGCCATCTCCTCCTCACCCAGCTCCTTGTATATGGAGCCCTCCACCAGACACTTCAGGTGGTAGATCTTGTGGTCAGTCTGCATGTCACACACTGGAACAGACAACAGACAAATGACAGAATCTTAAACTACTTGTTTGCTTTGATGACAGGGTAGAAGCAAATTTTAGCCTGTATTAATTTGACAAGAACTTCCACCCCTCCTACAGTGGCCTGTACCACCCTTCCTACTGTGTCCTGTACCACCCCTTCTACAGTGGCCTGTACCTACCCCTCCTACAGTGGCCTGTACCACCCCTCCTACTGTGTCCTGTACCACCCCTCCTACAGTGGCCTGTACCTACCCCTCCTACAGTGGCCTGTACCACCCCTCCTACTGTGGCCTGTACCACCCCTCCTACAGTGGCCTGTACCAGCCCTCCTACTGTGGCCTGTACCACCCCTCCTACAGTGGCCTGTACCACCCATCCTACAGTGGCCTGTACCACCCATCCTACAGTGGCCTGTACCACCCCTCCTACAGTGGCCTGTACCACCCATCCTACTGTGGCCTGTACCAGCCCTCCTACAGTGGCCTGTACCACCCCTCCTACTGTGGCCTGTACTATCCCTCCTACAGTGGCCTGTACCAGCCCTCCTACAGTGGCCTGTACCACCCCTCCTACTGTGTCCTGTACCACCCCTCCTACTGTGGCCTGTTCTATCCCTCCTACAGTGGCCTGTACCACCCTCCTACAGTGGCCTGTACCACCCCTCCTACTGTGGCCTGTACCACCCCTCCTACAGTGGCCTGTACCACCCCTCCTACTGTGGCCTGTTCTATCCCTCCTACAGTGGCCTGTACCACCCTCCTACAGTGGCCTGTACCACCCCTCCTACTGTGGCCTGTACCAGCCCTCCTACAGTGGCCTGTACCACCCCTCCTACTGTGGCCTGTACTATCCCTCCTACAGTGGCCTGTACCACCCCTCCTACAGTGGCCTGTACCACCCCTCCTACTGTGTCCTGTACCACCCCTCCTACTGTGGCCTGTTCTATCCCTCCTACTGTGGCCTGTACCACCCATCCTACTGTGTCCTGTACCACCCCTCCTACTGTGGCCTGTTCTATCCCTCCTACAGTGGCCTGTACCACCCCTCCTACTGTGTCCTGTACCACCCCTCCTACTGTGGCCTGTACCACCCCTCCTACTGTGGCCTGTACTATCCCTCCTACAGTGGCCTGTACCACCCCTCCTACTGTGGCCTGTACCACCCATCCTACTGTGGCCTGTTCTATCCCTCCTACAGTGGCCTGTACCACCCCTCCTACTGTGGCCTGTACCACCCATCCTACTGTGGCCTGTTCTATCCCTCCTACAGTGGCCTGTACCACCCTCCTACAGTGGCCTGTACCACCCCTCCTACTGTGGCCTGTACCACCCCTCCTACTGTGGCCTGTTCTATCCCTCCTACAGTGGCCTGTACCACCCCTCCTACAGTGGCCTGTACCACCCCTCCTACTGTGGCCTGTTCTATCCCTCCTACTGTGGCCTGTTCTATCCCTCCTACAGTGGTCTGTACCACCCTCCTACAGTGGCCTGTACCACCCCTCCTACTGTGGCCTGTACCACCCCTCCTACTGTGGCCTGTACCACCCCTCCTACTGTGGCCTGTTCTATCCCTCCTACAGTGGTCTGTACCACCCTCCTACAGTGGCCTGTACCACCCCTCCTACTGTGGCCTGTACCACCCCTCCTACAGTGGCCTGTACCACCCATCCTACTGTGGCCTGTACCACCCCTCCTACTGTGGCCTGTACCACCCCTCCTACAGTGGCCTGTACCACCCCTCCTACTGTGGCCTGTACTATCCCTCCTACAGTGGCCTGTACCACCCCTCCTACAGTGGCCTGTACCACCCCTCCTACTGTGGCCTGTACTATCCCTCCTACTGTGGCCTGTACTATCCCTCCTACAGTGGCCTGTACCACCCCTCCTACAGTGGCCTGTACCACCCCTCCTACAGTGGCCTGTACCACCCCTCCTACTGTGGCCTGTACCACCCCTCCTACAGTGGCCTGTACCACCCCTCCTACTGTGGCCTGTACCACCCCTCCTACTGTGGCCTGTACTATCCCTCCTACAGTGGCCTGTACCACCCCTCCTACAGTGGCCTGTACCACCCCTCCTACTGTGGCCTGTACTATCCCTCCTACTGTGGCCTGTACCACCCCTCCTACAGTGGCCTGTACCACCCCTCCTACTGTGGCCTGTACCAGCCCTCCTACTGTGTCCTGTACCACCCATCCTACAGTGGCCTGTACCACCCATCCTACTGTGGCCTGTACCACCCCTCCTACTGTGGCCTGTACCACCCATCCTACTGTGGCCTGTACCACCCCTCCTACAGTGGCCTGTACTATCCCTCCTACAGTGGCCTGTACCACCCTCCTACTGTGGCCTGTACCACCCCTCCTACAGTGGCCTGTACCACCCATCCTACTGTGGCCTGTACCACCCCTCCTACAGTGGCCTGTACCACCCATCCTACAGTAGTCTGTACCACCCCTCCTACTGTGGCCTGTACCACCCCTCCTACTGTGGCCTGTACCACCCATCCTACTGTGGCCTGTACTATCCCTCCTACAGTGGCCTGTACTATCCCTCCTACAGTGGCCTGTACCACCCCTCCTACTGTGGCCTGTACCACCCATCCTACTGTGGCCTGTTCTATCCCTCCTACAGTGGCCTGTACCACCCTCCTACTGTGGCCTGTACTATCCCTCCTACAGTGGCCTGTTCCACCCCTCCTACTGTGGCCTGTACCACCCATCCTACTGTGGCCTGTTCTATCCCTCCTACAGTGGCCTGTACCACCCTCCTACAGTGGCCTGTACTATCCCTCCTACAGTGGCCTGTACCACCCCTCCTACTGTGGCCTGTACCACCCATCCTACAGTGGCCTGTACCACCCCTCCTACTGTGGCCTGTACCACCCATCCTACTGTGGCCTGTTCCACCCCTCCTACTGTGGCCTGTACCACCCATCCTACTGTGGCCTGTTCCACCCCTCCTACAGTGGCCTGTACCACCCCTCCTACAGTGGCCTGTACCACCCCTCCTACTGTGGCCTGTACCACCCATCCTACTGTGGCCTGTTCCACCCCTCCTACTGTGGCCTGTACCACCCCTCCTACTGTGGCCTGTACCACCCCTCCTACTGTGGCCTGTACCACCCCTCCTACTGTGGCCTGCACCACCCCTCCTACTGTGGCCTGTTCTATCCCTCCTACAGTGGCCTGTACCACCCTCCTACAGTGGCCTGTACCACCCCTCCTACTGTGGCCTGTACCACCCATCCTACTGTGGCCTGTTCTATCCCTCCTACAGTGGCCTGTACCACCCTCCTACAGTGGCCTGTACCACCCCTCCTACTGTGGCCTGTACCACCCATCCTACTGTGGCCTGTTCCACCCCTCCTACTGTGGCCTGTACCACCCCTCCTACTGTGGCCTGTACCACCCCTCCTACTGTGGCCTGTACCACCCCTCCTACTGTGGCCTGTACTACCCCTCCTACTGTGGCCTGTACCACCCCTCCTACTGTGGCCTGTACCACCCATCCTACTGTGGCCTGTTCTATCCCTCCTACAGTGGCCTGTACCACCCTCCTACAGTGGCCTGTACCACCCCTCCTACTGTGGCCTGTACCACCCATCCTACTGTGGCCTGTTCCACCCCTCCTACTGTGGCCTGTACCACCCATCCTACTGTGGCCTGTACCACCCATCCTACAGTGGCCTGTACCACCCATCCTACAGTAGTCTGTACCTCCCCTCCTACAGTAGCCTGTACCACCCCTCCTCCAGTGGCCTGTTCCACCCCTCCTACTGTGGCCTGTACCTACCGTCCAGCATGGGTTTGAGTTCCTCATGGGTGCAGGTGGGCAGGGCGTGCCACAGGAACACCAGCTCCAGGGTCAGCAGGCGGCACTGCTCCTGTGTGGGCGGCACCTTCTTGAACTTCTCAGCCTGGACAGACAAATTAGCTCATGTTAGTCAACACAATAGTATTTGATTCCACTTACATTTGTCACCATGTTTGGACAAACAATTCTGAAAACTCATTAACACCTTTTCCAGAAGAGAAATGATTGGTGAAGAATGATAGCAGAATCGCACAATTAGCATTATGACCATGACTTGCCTACCAGGGCAGCAATGCTACTTCAGCATAAACAGGGATGAGAATAGATATTTTCCTTTTCAACTTAAACTTCTTTTCAATGAAGGGGCTTGGCCCCCCAAAGCCATCAGATTTTATCAAATTTGTGGTCACTACAATTCTCGGAAATTGGCTGATCCGCGGAAGATTCTCACCCTGCATATATTTATGACAGTTACATCACGAGAACCGGCTTAATCCTATAGCAGGAACTAATAGCAAGTACCCTTTTCAAACAAATATTTAATCAATGCAAAGAATGATAAAGTCCCTAATCTTTTTTAGCGAAAATCAAACATCTCATCAAAACTACCACTGTGATTACACAGCAAGGATGAACAAGCGTATAGTCGACGAAGTCATCTAAATCCCCTGCCCATTTTAACACGTTATGGTCCCAAACCAGGTAACTGACCCAACATTTCTCTTAGCCCATGTCAAAATAGCTGCAATGGAAATTCTATTAAAAAAATGTCTAAAAGTGATAAATATCAAAAGGCACCAGTTCAGTATGTGCCTGGTAGACATGCAAAGAAAGTATTTAACGTTTTTTTAGTTCGTTGGGTTGGGGGATAATGAACGAGTGAGTAAGTTGCATTTTCTGCTATATTAAGCAGTACATGTGTATTTCAGTTGGATCATGGCATCTCAGTATAATTTGGAAAGAAAGCCCAAAGTGACACAGACTGTAATCATGATCATAATTAGGGCAAACGTGTGACTTGAAACCAATATCATAGCATCATGGCATACCTAAGGGACACACCTCTACACAGTGAATTCCTGCATCCGAGACAACTTGGCCACCAGGGCCCCGAAGGAAATTGACCATGTGTTGGTTTACATGTGTCATGTTTTCTCAGGACATTTTAATAGGTCATAATGAGTTCTTTTCAACCTATGAAAGGTATATTTACCTTTTGGTGTACCTCTGTGGATTGATTAGGTTGGTTGGTTAGGCACTCAGCAATATTCCAGCTATATGATGGCGGTCTGTAAATAATTGAGTCTGGACCAGACAATCCGGTGATTGACATCATGAGCATCGATCCACGCATTTGGGATCGATGACATGCATCAACCAAGTCAGCGAGCCTGGCCACCCGATCCCGTTAGTTGCCTTTTATGACAAGCATAGTCACTTTTTACGGCAAGCATGGGGATTGATAAGGTAATTTCAAGTCACAGTAAAATTTTCAAAGAAGTATCTATATTCAAAGACTTTTTAAGCCCATCTAAGCCCTGTAGATTGCTTGTGAACTTTGACATGGTGCCATATGTATAAATGGCTTGGGAAGATGGGAGAAGACTAACAAGTGACTTACCCTGCGCCCAACAAACGCCTCTATTTGGTTGTTTTTCTTCTTCACAAGCCCCGGAACCTCCTTCAGGATTTCATAAGCCTTGTCTACATCTCCCTGAGCTCCTAGACACACTGGGACACAGACACAGACACAGTTGTCACAATCAACACAGCAGAGCTACAGATAAGCTGCATATTTGCATAAAATACCCCCCAAACTATTCAAAACCCAATTACTTTCAATTAACTTGCGTACAGAAATGCATGCATTAAATGAAAAACTTAATTGTTGAAAACAGCACACGTAAATACTCAGTGAAGCTTTTTCAACATATGTCCAACAGAGCTAATTCCCAAAACACAATTACAAACTAATGTACTTTCCTAGTCAAGCCTATATTTAAAACCATTATATACATCTAAACCATTCTTTCATGTTCAAAATCTCAAAACGTTTACTTATTTTGAGAAAAACCAAATAGAGTGATGAATAGATGAGTGACAAAAGTATTGGTTACCCAATAAAGAATGTAATAACCCAATTAAAATAGAAACCTTTGAGTAAAAACTCAATTGCTCAAAAAGTTATATGAAGCTCTGACACATCAAACAGATGCAGCTAGAGATTCAGCTGGGCAACGGTCTGGGAAGTCTCTCACTCACATGATCTTATTGTAGTGAGTGAGTGAGTATGGTTTTACACCACTTTTAGCAATATTCCAGCAATATCACGGCGGGGGACACCAGAAATGGGCTTCACACATTGTACCCATGTCGGGAATCGAACCCGGGTCTTCGGCGTGACGAGCGAACGCTTTAAACACTAGGTTACCCGACCGCCCCCCTGATCAGTGGACAGGGCAATCTGGCATCTAAACCAACAATTGGAACATCCTTGTAGAACCAAGGGATATAACTCTGCACAGCAGATTTCTGCACATTGGGTCCATGATGGATATCATAAGTTAGAGGAAAAAAGTATGAACTTACCTGACATAAGATAGGAGTAGTATGCCTTGGACCATTTTGATTCTGCTCTCAGTCTGATGAAGAATGTCGAAGATACATAGATAAGAAGAATGTCGAAGACACATAGATAAGAATGTTGTAGATAAGAAACACATCATGCCCATTGGAAGCATCATATGAGTAGTCCACTCCCAATCTAACCTGAGTTTTCACCTCTTACAAGGGTTACGTGATATTACCACATTGCATTAACTCAATCTCACAATGATAAAAACTGTGTAGTTCAACTCCAGTCCATGTGGAAATAAGTCAACACAGTATTATTTTTGTCTCATACTTTCTCCAATACTTTCAGTCAGTATACATTCTGTTCAACCTTTTCAATAACATGAAAGCACGATCAATCTTTAATAAATCTAATGCACCCGTAACAGTGTAATGTTTTGTGAGATTGTGGTCCTAATGCAATTGGTTTATCAGTGTTAAGAGTAATAAGACGCAGAACATGTCCTTGTTATTATTGTATATATTCCAGTAGGAGGAAAATGTTAAGTTGTAAACCAAACGCATTCTGATTGTTGATATTTATAGTAGAATAAAGATGGTTGGTTGTCTTCAAGAAATAACTCAAATAATTATTTGCAGAAATCACATCACCCTGGCCAAACTTGAATTCATTCTGGCACAAGTATTTTCTCCCTATTTTCCAGGTTTCCCTACATTAGTATAATCATCCAATGAGGTAAGCTACAAAAGGGAAAGCAGTAGCTCTGAAATACTCAAGAGAATTGATCAAGAAGTTGTCGTCTATGGTGTTACTTTGCAGCACGAGGGCACTAGTTAAAGGGAGATAACTCTTTCAGACTCAATGGAAATTACTTGACACTGCCTCCTCAAAAAAGTAGTCATGTGATCAAGAGTCTTTTAATGATCACGCTGCTGATTTGTTCCATGCCTAAATTTGCCATAAAGTTTCTTGATACACCCTAATATATCCTGATACATCCTGATACATCCTGATACATCCTAATACATCTCGATACATCCTAATACATCTTGATACATCCTAATACAACTTGAAACAAAGTTTCCCCAAGATCAGCCTCATTGAGAGAGATATAAAAAAAATATAACTACGATTGATCACCAGATGACTCACAATGTACCACAATAGAAGTTCAAGCAAATAATCTGAGACAAATTTCATATCTTCTTTGAGACACACTTGCAAAGTATTTATAATGCACTAGATTCCACACATTTCGTGCATGCTTAAAGGGGCACTGATCTAACGCAATTCCCCGGGACTGGTTGCCTTTGTTATTGTTTTTTCCCATTGAGTACCCGGATGTATAGCAGAAATCTAGACTAGTTCGCGACCTCTGCTGCGCCATTCGTAAGCGCATTAGTCACTTTTATGGGTAGTAATAAGGGCGTATGGTCACATTGATCAACAAAATGAAATACAGTTTTCGAGATAATAAGGAAATGTAGGTATCTATGTGAGTAGCATCGGTAATGGTGACGAAGTTTTGATAAGTCACTTGCTTGGTAATTTTCGTTTACACTATTTTGACTTGCAACACAAAGTAAATATTTCACCTGAGCATATGCTTTTTTTATAGTGTGTACATCTTTTTACTGTCAAATGTGTAACGAATTTATTAAACGTCTAAATATTCAGTTATTTTACAAAGTGACTGAAAAACATTTCCATCTGTATTATTATGACAACGAATTCCAAACATTTTGATGTTTAATGTCATCACCAAGAGACTGAAAATGTTGCGTTGAAAAGTACATTTCTAAGTTGTTTGGCTTTTAATCCTACATAATAATCTGTTGTGATGTTTGTAGGCCCTTTTGATCGTCTTGATCAATCTGGACAGATTTTTTAGTCAAAATGACTGAAATATTTACACATTTTATAAATTGCCTGAGAGAATCACATTTTACAAATTGACGGTAATATATACACGCTTACAAAGGAAAAGACCTGTGTCAACGACGTCTATCGTGCATTGAAGAATTTCCCAACCAAGACGTAGAGAAACAAAAACGAATCGGTTCAAATAAAGGAAAACAAAATGCAAATATCATAATTACAACCTACCAAATTTATGTGTATAAGTTTTAGGCAGCTTCCTTGTTCGAGGAATGTATCCGTGAATATCCACAAAAAAGGAACAATATCCCACTCGTGTGCAGCTGTACAAAGAAACTTATTCGATGTCACGTGTCTCAGTAACAATCAAATATTTTAAAAGATATATATCGTTTCGGGATATTATAACCCGTGTTCGTTTCTCAACTGATCGCTTGGATTGTTTCAGGTGTTTTACATAGGTGTCAAGTCTCAATGGTCAGCTGAGAAAGCCCACGTGACAACTATTTTCTTAACGTCCACGGTTCCTAAAAATTCCATTGAGTGATAGATAACAATGATCAATCAATCAACGTATTATCAGTTAACCCTTTGAACAAAGTATGTTGTTTTTACATCGGCACTTCGCGCCATGATATGAGTGTATTCCCTTTGTTTTAGTAAACCTAGACATGTAAACACTCACTCTTGACATATCCACTGTGCAAGATAACAGTGATTGATCAATCAACGTATTTTCTGTTAATCCTTTGATGACTAGGAACGATCCGTTGATTTACAAAAAAAAGTAAATCAACTGATCATTCATCTCTTGCTGGGCTGCCACGTGTATATTACATAACACACATTTCACCTCACTTCAAACCTGGATTTAGATTGAATAATTACCCCAGACACAATAAATGCCAAATGGGAACCTTTGTCAGGTAATCTAAGTGGTGCTACCACTAATTGTACCTGTAATAAGTTCATTAACTGAGCATCAAGTGAATGACGACAAATACACAAGTGTAGGGTTATACGAGAAAACGTGGATGAAAACAAGGGAGTAGTAATCGTATTATCGACGCAAGCCGAAATCCAAAAATGCTTTCACTGCATGGATACTTTTTTTAGTATTAAACTATAACTATCTGGGGTATTTCCAAATGACGACATACGATGAGCTCCCTTGTTCTTTATGTCTGTTTGTTTAGGCTGAAGAAATTAATTAACAAGCGCCCTTTGTCGAAATCTTTATAGATCACAGTTAACCAATCAGTGTTCAAAAATGCGTAAAACAAATATTGCCTCCAGCCTCCAAGTTTATTTAGCTGTCCTTGCAGACGGTACCCCAGTCTCTGGTCACGCTCAGTTGCGTTGCGTATCATCCGGGTACTCACGGGGGAAAAACAATAACAAAGGCAACAACCAGTCCGTTAGATCAGTGCCCCTTTAAAGTGCTACAACATTTTCACCCTGGTCAATGGATCAATGTTCTCAAATGTCATTCTCAGCTCCATGGGGAGTATACAAACTTTCGCCCAAGCATTGTTTCATTTGTTCCCCCATACCTTGTGAATCCTTCTAGCGTGTCACTCCACCTCAGCTTCAGTAGATTACACCAGCCTGGGGAAGGGAGGCGTCACATATCAGTCAATGAAATGCTAGGAATGTTACAAATTAACACCTGATGGTTACCCATGTATCAATCAACAATCTTAGCAGTATCAATATTTAAAAATAAGCTTTGCAAAAAAAGCAAGAAAAAAAGCTTTGCAATAGCCCGGCCTGACAAATCCTCAAACATGACCTTACTGCCTGTCATGAAACAAAGCAATAAACCTGATTGAATATTAGCATCAGAACAAGCCATGCAAGTTAAGCAAACTGGATTGATACTCAGGCCACATGGACCATCGAGTACTTCACACAGAAACAACACGTGTGGTGTACTCGAGTATCCTGATGTGTGTAGATACGTGAGGTGGTCGTATCGCGTACTTGAGTATGCCGATGTTAAAAGATATGTGAGGTAGACGTATCATGACACCCGTATGTAATGGTACATTTGAAAGTAAAAAGCAGGGGCATGGACACTGAACTGGAGAATGTATGCTTGATATGTTCTCAAACTAACACAAGGAAGAAAGAAAAGTCAAGATCAATGAGGATTGCTTGGCTCCGATAGCATTTGAGTATGGACAAGGATGTGAAAACCTGGGCCAACTTCTGGTGTGTCATCACAACCCACCAGGATGTTGCAGATAGTGAGTGTGCGATGTTGGCTTTCACACTGTTCCAGTCGTGGTTTGGAAGCACTGGGATTCAAACCTAGAACCTGATGATTATTGTAGCTAACAGACAACAAGGGGTGACTAAGTAGACTGTGCACGGCACCTGAGATAATGTCCACAACATGACAATGGGAATCCAAGGATCAGGCATGAGACTACTCCACTCCTCAACAGTGGTGTACCCAGCATCATCACATACAGACGTAGTACTGATGCACTTGTCACGTTAATACGAACTATGGTGTTAACAGATATTTCCATATTGATTTATTGGAATATTAATGGTCATGTTTTTTAAATTCCAAATCGTTCCACACTGGTGTCAAGTGAAGTAAGAATTCTCCACAAGATAGATGGTATGCCCCGAAACATAACCGTGTTACTTACTGATTTCGTAGAGACACATAAGTTCTATCTCCCTCTGGCCTGCAGCCTCCTCCAGGGCCTTCTGGTACATCCCCAGGGACAGGTCATTCTCTTTCTGAAACATGGACATCAGTAGTGACAGGCTAATCTCTTTCTCGAACAAATAGCTAAACTCCCTCAGTCTGTATAAGCTACCCTCCCTCAGTCTGTATAAGCTACCCTCCCTCAGTCTATATAAGCTACCCTCCCTCAGTCTATATAAGCTACCCTCCCTCAGTCTGTATAAGCTACCGTCCCTCAGTCTATATAAGCTACCCTCCCTCAGTCTGTATAAGGTACCCTCCCTCAGTCTATATAAGGTACCCTCCCTCAGTCTGTATAAGCTCCCCTCCCTCAGTCTGTATAAGCTACCCTCCCTCAGTCTGTATAAGCTACCCTCCCTCAGTCTGTATAAGCTACCGTCCCTCAGTCTGTATAAGCTACCGTCCCTCAGTCTATATAAGCTACCCTCCCTCAGTCTATATAAGGTACCCTCCCTCAGCCTCTATAAGCTACCCTCCCTCAGTCTGTATAAGCTACCCTCCCTCAGTCTGTATAAGCTACCCTCCCTCAGTCTGTATAACCTACCCTCCCTCAGTCTGTATAAGCTACCGTCCCTCAGGCTGTTTAAGCTACCCACCCCTTGTCCCTAACCTACTCACCCTCAGCCTGTGTATCCGACCCCTGAAGAACAGAAAGAGAGCAGAGTTGGGGAAATCATTCTCCTTCTCAGCAATGATGTTCTCAGCTTCTGCTGTACCTGCAACCATTCAACAGAATGTGTCATCATCATCATCATCATCAGTCATAGGCGAGGTGAAATGGGGTTTAACATCGCATTCCATATTATTACATGTATATAGCTATCTGCATGCACATGTGTGTAAGTGTGTGGTTGTGTGGCCGTTTGTACTAGTCCGGACTGATGCCGATTTTATAGTGCTAGCCCACTGAGATTCCATGCCACAGTTTAACATGAATACCCCACTCAGACAGTATACTGACTCCAAGCCGACCAGAACTTGTTTTATCCCCTTAATGCCGAGCATCAGGCAGGGTAGCAACAAGTACCATATTTTCACAGCTTTTGGTATCGAACCCCCAACCTTCCGCTCTCCAGACAGACGCTCTAGCAAAAGACCACAGAGGCTGTCACCAGAGTCACAGACCTAGCAACTTTCTGCAGTCACTCATTTAGGTACCTACAGACAGAAACATATATTTGCCCTCACATAGACAATGTGTGGCCTGCACACAGTCTATTCAAAGAGTTCTTAATCAATATTACAAATGCAACCAGTCCTTGGGGAAACACTAAGTAAACTCATGGATATCATGTAAAATTACAGTTCTTTTGCTTGCCAAACATATTCCATTCAGTCGTGAAATGTACTTTGTCCACTCAGTCACATTGCCAAGGACTGTTTTAAATTATTCAATGATAATATCCGCTGAATATTATTTGATCAATCTTGTTTCCCTTGTCGTTGGACCTCGTCACCAACTAGGAAACAATCTTTTTGGTTGAGTGCTCTTGTAAATAATTGCCTATTAGAATAGAAATAAGATCAAAGACAACACAGACATTTTCTACACAAGTTCAAAAACTGCAAAAAGCTGTGACAGACACATGCGCAAGATCATATAATTTCAGCATAATACATATAATTGATGAAATAAAATAAAATAATAATCCCTCAATAATAAGAAATTTTGACCCACCTGCACAGAAGCTATTGGCGCCATCGAGAGCAAAGAACGGCCTGAGCACAGTATGGTACCACAGCAGCCCCAGCGTGGCAAGAGGTGCCTTCATGTCCTTGCTGTGACTTGTGTACTCCAGCGAACCTAGTCCGGCTTCCCGATCACCTTCAAACCCTAGAAACTCAATCAGCTTCAATATCTTCGGAGGCACCATGGATATACACAACTGGAATGTACCATATCCGAAATTCACGGCACCGCAAAGACGCGAAAGAACTTCCTCCGTCAGTTCATTGTCATTGCCATCGGTGGCGCTGTCATGGACGTACACACTGTTCTGGTTGGTGTTGGAAGGAAGGCTGTTGGTCATTTTTTCAATCTTTGCTCGGGCTTGTTTCTCACTGAGATCCAAGATCTCTTTATGAACCTTTTCATAGAGTTTCCAAGCCTTTCGTAGGTACCACCCACCCTTTACATAACTAGCGATGTCCTGGTTCGTGAAGACAAGAATCGCCTGGTACAGCAACGAGTCGGCAACAATCACTTGGCGTTGGATACGATCCTCAACACTCACCTCAGCCTCTGACTGAAACACAAGCATGTGTAAAGTATACTTGCGGATTCCATCAAAACTGGTGATGGGTGTTGGCCTGACGTTTTTATTTTATTTTTATTTTTTAACACCACTCAGCAATATTCCAGCTGTATGATGACAGACTGTAAATAATCGAGTCTGGACCAGACAATCCAGTGACTGATATCATGAGTGAACAACAAACAAAGAAACAAAGAAACAAACAAAACATGCCCCGACCAAAACATTGTCTGCACAAAACTTAGCAAAATTATTTAATCTAAATGAGGATGCAGTTGCAGTGTCAATATGCTCCTTTTGTTTTCAGTTTAACTCTTATTCATGGAGTTTTTACGGAAATTTACCTACACAGGCATGACATATATATTTCTCATCTCTCTTGGGAAAGTGACCATGAAACTTTATAAAACATTAAATTCTAATGATTTACCCTGAAGTATTGCAGGTACTGAAGGAATTCTTATTCGACATAATAAGCGCCCATGGCAATATTTGCTAATATATTGGCTAGTGAACAATCCCAATTATCACCCCTTCCGATTGATCAATGTACACAAGACTTATTTATTTGTGTATAACACGCACTCATGTGTTATATGCACTCTTAATTATGGGCAATTAAATTCTGGAAAAATATATCTGTCGTATATAAACATTTCAGGTTGTCAGCATAAACCACACAATTTACGACCTTTCAACTCTGTTTTTTCTCTCACCAATATACTTTTCTAATAAGAGCCCCCTATTTCTAATTTTTAGAGCACCCTGGGCGTTATTACGTCGAATACAGTAGTATGATGTGTAATATGATTGCAATACTCATTCATGTTTTTATACACACAAATGTTCATCCATAGACAAATGCTTGAAACCGCAGCACTGTGAGACCGTAGATGCGAAACTACTCACTTGCTGTCGTTTTTTCTTTGAAAACCGTTTCTTCACTGATCGTAAAAAGCCATCACTTATTTCACATTTCTTCTCAGTGTGCTGGAGAACTTTTAGAGCCTCGCCCAACTTTTCTTCCTCGAATGACATGAGAGCTTGCTGAAAGGGAGATAACACACCTGTCAGTGATTTTATTCAATGAAAAAGCATTATTCCTGAAGGGACAACTAGTGGTAATAGGTATGAGGAATACATCCGTAGTGAATAGAAATGTTGATGAACAAGTCAATCATTATCCCAGATTGCTGAGAGGAAGACACTGAACTCTTTCAGAAGGAATATCAACACCCTGTAGTCAGGGTTAGAACATAAAACTAGCCCGCTAGCCTGGGGCTAGTACAAATTCCTGAAGGTTAGTACAAGTTTCCCGAAATTCCCCCATTGTTTTAACATTACAAGGGCATCTTATCTTTGCCCGGGCTTGGAAGGATTTTGTGTTCAGTTCTAACCCTGTAGAATTATGACCACACAGAAACAAAATAGACGCTATCACAACAGTCTTGACTGAGTGGGCTAGCCTTGCGTTTAGTGCATTCACTCATCAAACCCAAGGCCCTTGGCTCAATTCCCTATTCCTCAGATTTCCTATATCTTGGCTTGATTCCCTATCCCCTGGTTCGTTATCCGATGCTCGGTTCCCTATACGATGGCTTGATTCCCTATACCTTGGCTCATTATCCTTTGCTTCGCATTGACACTCTCATTTTCACCTACAAACATCGAAAACGTCGTATTGCTTGAAAAAAATTATCTACCAGGGATAATTCTAGGCCCACATTTTCAAATACAATGAGGCATTTTAACATTGTGCTGTATAAAAAACTTGCTCGACAGTTTCTCCAATCGTCAAAATTTGTCAATCGAAACAGCGATCTGCATACTTGCAACACTGCATGTCATCTCTTACTGTGCATAACTGATTCCTATATCACTGCATGGAGCTTTGCACTACATTTTTTTTATACCTGATTGTCAAATCGTATTCGGTGATCTACAGTAAGTCATTAACCATATGTTTTTGTCACTTAAATCCTAGCAGAAATCAAAGATGTACATGTATGTGCATCCGTGCAGAAATCAAGAGAAAAAATGCAAAATATTTTTTGCCAACATACTGTAACACCATTTACAACTGTCGCTATTTCATGTCATCGCTTTGAATATATTAAATTACGATCTTAACAGACATTGTTGAAGACCTAGACATTGTTTGTTCCCCGCATGCCAACAAAATAAACAGCTGATGGTGGTAAACATGCCATATCTATAATTGTTCTCGCAATAATTCTTCCTAAAGTGGACAATAAACTGAAATACATAAATATTAATGTATTTTCTCCTAAAGTAGACAATGAACATAAATATAAATACTAATGCATTTTTTTGTTGACACAAATGCTAATATTTCTAAATATTCACAGTGGAAGAATTAATGTTCGAAAATATCGGAGGTTGTATCTATATAACCTAGTAACATTAATTGCCACACAATTTGAGTCACAAATACCAAATATCAACTACAGTTTCCACTGTCTGAAAATTTGCACAGTCTCTTTACACGTCCAAATATCTCATTGCTTTTAGACCAAGGTGGATTTTCCTCTGAACATTAAAAAATTCAAGGATAATCTTTGAGTGTGTGAAGTCCATTTCTGGAGTCCCCTGCCATGATATTTCTGGAATATTGCTAACTCATTCACAACTGTTTTAATGGTAATTGAAAAAGTCCAACATCAAAATTCAACGGTAAAATAGCAAAAGGTGAAGTGCAAGGTTACAGCCATGCTTGCCACCTAATCTCTACTAAATCTCTCTGCCACAGTGACAGTTATCCTGTGCAAGGTGAGCATCCATCGATTAGAGCCATGCTTGCCACCCAATCTCCACTAAATCCCCTCTGCCACAGCAACAGTTATCCTGTGCAAGGTGAGTGTCCATCAATTACAGCCATGCTTGCCGCCCAATCCCCACAAAGTTCCCTCTGCCACAGCAACAGTTATCCTGCGTAAGGTGGGCATCCATCAATTACAGCCATGCTTGCCACCCAATCTCCACTAAGTGTCCTCTGCCACAGCAACAGTTATCCTGTGCAAGGTGAGTGTCCATCAATTACAGCCATGCTTGCCACCCAATCTCCACTAAGTCCCCTCTGCCACAGCAACAGTTATCCTGCACAAGGTGGGCATCCATCAATTACAGCCATGCTTGCCACCCAATCTCCACTAAGTGTCCTCTGCCACAGCAACAGTTATCCTGTGCAAGGTGGGCATCCATCAATTACAGCCATGCTTGCCACCCAATCCCTACAAAGTCCCCTCTGCCACAGCAACAGTTATCCTGCGCAAGGTGGGCATCCATCAATTACAGCCATGCTTGCCACCCAATCCCCACTAAGTGTCCTCTGCCACAGCAACAGTTATCCTGCGCAATGTGGGCATCCATCAATTACAGCCATGCTTGCCACCCAATCCCCACTAAGTGTCCTCTGCCACAGCAACAGTTATCCTGCGCAATGTGGGCATCCATCGATTCCAGCCATGCTTGCCACCCAATCCCAACTAAGTCTCCTCTGCCACAGCAACAGTTATCCTGCGCAAGGTGGGCATCCATCAATTACAGCCATGCTTGCCACCCAATCCCTACAAAGTCCCCTCTGCCACAGCAACAGTTATCCTGCGCAAGGTGGGCATCCATCAATTACAGCCATGCTTGCCACCCAATCCCCACTAAGTGTCCTCTGCCACAGCAACAGTTATCCTGTGCATGGAGAGCATCCATCAATTACAGCCATGCTTGCCACCCAATCCCCACTAGGTCTCCTCTGCCACAGTGACAGTCATCCTGGGAGGCCTGTCTACAAAGCCATGCGGCAAGGTTAATCTGCTTACCATGAAGAACACAAAGCTGTAGCCTGCATGCATCAATGGGCTTTCATTTCTGTAACAAAGCAGAGAAAGAAATGAGAAATTTGTGACGGAGACAGATATATTTGAGTCTCACCTCAAATATGTTACATGCTATGAAATCGTGTCCGGACCCTGATGTCATCATTATTCCAGAAAGCCTGCCTGGAGTACCAGTATAAAGCCAATAGAATATTACTCTATACTCATAATTGCCAATGGTTTGTCATTCTGGAAATATATTTATCTGGACAATTTCACTGCACATGAAAAATACATACACAACAAATGCACAAAAACACACAGGTTGGAGACACCGCATAAGGAATTACAAGAAACAATATAGATCTACATTTAAAAACTGCATAAAATATACATAGTGACTAAAACTAAATCTTAACTCCTGCAAGTAGTAATGTAAGGCTTGCAGGCAACACATTTATTTTATTATATTTGTTTAAGTTATTTGTTGCTATTGCGTTAAGCATGTTAAGTATACTACTCAAAACAGTGTGTTTTCTTTTGAGTAGGTGGGGTGGGTTGAGATATACATATCTTACTGATACTGCATATTAGTACCCCATGAAGATCCGGGGTAGAATAGATCTTCAGCAACCCATGCTGGCCATAAAAGGCGACTATGCTTGTCGTAAGAGGCAACTAACGGGATCCGGTGGTCAGGCTCGCTGACTTGGTGATGCATGTCATCGTATCCCAATTGCGTGGATTGATGGTCATGATATTAATCACTGGATTGTCTGGTCCAGAATCCATTATTTACAGACCGCTGTCATATAGCTGGAATATTGTTGAGTGCAGTGTTAAACAAACAAACAAACAAACAAACATGCCCCAAACAAAACATTGTCTACACAAAAACTAGCAAAATTATTTAATTGAGTACGACAAGCATGGGTCTTCAGCAACCCATGTAACTCGATTATTTACATATAGCCATATTGTCATATAGCTGGAATAGTGCGGTGTTAAACAACAAACAAACAAACAAACAAACAGTGAAAGGAGGATTTTCACATGTTACTGTCTCTTGTCTCAGCAAGTGAGATCTTTAAGAGGTAAAGTGAGGTGAAATGGGGTTTAATGTAGCATTAAGACTATTGCACATATATAGCAATGTGCATGCATGTGAGTGAGTGACTGCTTGTACTAGTCCAGACTGAATGCCGGTTTCATAGTTCCAGCCCACTGAGATACCATGCTGTTGTTTAACATGGATGCTCCACACAGACACAGTACCATGGATGTACCCGACCCTGCTAGAGGCGGATATTCGGCCCCATGTCTTCAGCAAGTGTAAGTAAAAATTCCCAAATTGGAATTAAACATTTCCCAAGTCATGTTGTTTTATCCCCTCTATGCCCCGTACCAGGCAGGGTAACAAGAAGTATGAACTATAACATCCTCTGCAACAAGAGTCATCAGAAGATGACAAATCCCCCCGGACCCTACAAATTCGAAAGAATAAATTATCTGCTTGTTAAGTCCACTAGATGAAGAATTTCTATCTGATCTGGCTGTCAGTATACAAGAGTAGTTATTGAGCTATCAAAATAATACCATGGAATTGGGATTCAGAACTTTGTATTTCTATGTCAGGTACACACCAACATGAACAGTCAAAGTCTAACTTGTTGAAAAAATATAAATTCTAACGATCCCTAAATAGCAAAAGTCACCAGATGACAAGCTGGTCATATGTGTGCATAGTTTCAAGGAAGAATACCTAATAGTTTTAAAGATGAACCCAAAGTCAAACTTCTTGCCATGAAAACAGGATATTTTTTTTATCTAAATTCCTAAATAGCAAAAGGCATCACATCAACCCCTGAATAATAATGTTCCAAGTTTGATTCAACACTGTTGAACAGTTTTTAAGTGCTGCTCCAGAAACGACACCTACCTCCATTTCAGCAAAGTCTAACTTAATTGTGTTCATGAATAAACAGAAAAATGAAATTTTGAAACATTCCTCAATAGCAAAAATAAAAATTATAAAAATTACAAAATAGCAAAAGGCACTTCAGCATGTGACTGATACATCTTTCAAGTTTCGATCAAATACACTGAATGGTTTTTGAGTTCTGCCCCGGAAAAGGAAATGATTACGGACAGACTGGCTGATCGCTACATCCCCCCGCATTATATGCCAGGGGGATAATGATGAAGCCAGTCTACAAACACAGCAAACTATGGACATAATCTGACCAATGGTCCATGAATCACAGATGCTATAAACACAGCCTATCTCATCAAAAAACTTATGCTAATATAAATGTAAAGCATCAAAAGCTGAAGAAACAAGTAAAGTCTGGTAGTGATTGGACAAGAGGTTGTGGAGAAAAGCAGCAAACCTTTTGTGGTATTGAGAGTCTACAATTATGTAACTATAATAATTATAGCTAAAATGGATAGAATTATCATTAAACCGTCTGCATATTATCAGAAATCAGCAGGCCACTGTAACTTGATAATGCCCTCATATTGCTTGACGACGGGCCATTATCACTCCCGTTGTTAGGTGATGTCATAGGATAGGGATAGGTGACGTCACGTTCAATAGTGACGTCATCTGGTTTGTTCTATGACGTTTCCATATTTGTAAAAGTCGGTCAGTGACATTCATGTTGATTGCCATGATTGCAGTAAACTTTTCAAAACCGATATTGTTGTTTCTTTTTATATGGTAACAAATTCTATCCATTTTAGTTATAATAACGGTAATGCTATTTTTAAGGGCATTATCATTTGGGTTCGGGCTTCTGCAAATGATAATGCCGCCAAAAATAGCACTGCCCTTATATTATAGTGTGGTGAAATGGGGTTTAACGTCGCGTCCAAGATTATTGCACTTCTATAGCGATGTGCATGCACGCCCTTATATTATAACAACAATAACAACAACAACAACAACTATAATGACAACAATAAATCGAACAATTTCAATTAGGTCCTTGACCATTCTGGAGATCTAAACACATATGAATAACAACCAGAACTGGTGCATGTCCCATCCCAACACACCAACATTCCGTGTCTGCATCCTAGCAATATCATGTCAACTGTCAGTCATAATGGTATTGATTAACATTGAGAAGATCACACATGTCCATCACCTGACCTTTTACATTACTTCTAATGCATAGACCTGCACAGCTCAACCAAGCAAGAACAGAAAGCATCCCACAATCAATACCATAGCTCGTGTCACACAAATATACTCACATAATTATGTAGCATAAGAAATTTCAAAATTTCTTTATAAACATGTCACATCCTTTGCATTAAAATTGGTGCAAATCAATTCAGAATCTGAAGAAAATTGTATAAGCACGGCCATGATTAATTTGAAGATAACGATAGTGATTACAGTGTTCTGCACATTGTCTAACCAGGGTTTGATGCCGGTATGGATTTGAGAGTGCTGTCATTCTAATAATGGGCAAAAAAGACTTCAGGGTTCAGCCTGACAATGGTCTTGTGAGCTAATCAAGGCAGATCAATAGCTGGGGTCTACAGTGTCTACACTGTGGGAGTCATTCCCGGACATGCTCACATACGGCAGAGACAAATCTAAGGATCAACACATTTTTTATTTGAAATAATCTTGGTAGGATTTGGAGAAAATTGGAATATAGTCCATATGTGGGCATATGCTGCATAATTATGATACTCTGAACATTTTGTATGAAATGGATTCAAAATATAATTGAAGGGTTGTAAGGATGCTTGGCTGGAGTGTGTAATGTCAGCCTTTGAAGGAAATGTGTGCTCACTGACCATGGCTGAAAGGGCATGTGGAATGTAGATGGTTACTTGTCATGCTGTATCACTATGCTCTGCCTCCTGAGTGAGTGATGGCTGGGCTTCTCTTCACCAGTCAAGGCCTGAAGGCATACACTTGTAACTTGCCTTATGCTCAGGAAATGAGAAAGTGAGTGAGTAAGCTGTGTTTAATGCCACTTTGAACTGTATTGCAGTTACAGGCCTCGGTTCAATGCCACAGTATTTTCATGCTTATGCTACAGCTCTTCAGTTCAAAGCGGGAGGAAGGTTCAAGAGCCATCTTCCTGAGGCAAATGAGTTAACTGACTACAAATGTCCAGTTCCCACCCTTGTCGAACTAGGCTGGAATTTCCAGGCTCAAATTTAGCGCCGCCAGTGGCTATTATGAGTTATGTCCCTTCTATGCCCCTCCTATTGACCAATCAGATTCCATCACTCCTATCAGTTACATTCACTTCAAACAAAATGGTGTTGCCCATTCAAGACTATCTGATTGATAATCAAGATCTTGATTAACAACATGAAAAGCTTTGGAAAATATATGTCGACGCCCAATTGGCGGTACACATGATTTGCAAATTGTGCAGTCGACCGAACTCTGCACGTTGCAATCCATGTAGTTCGTTACTTAATTTTGACTGGACTATGTACAGAATCGTTAGTCCAGCCAAAATGTTACTTCAGAATACCAGCCTAGTTCGGCAAGGGTGGAAAATGGACTCTTATAGTCAGTTGAGATGTTCTAGGTGATAAAGGGCATATGCTACTCTTTTGAAACCCTTGTACATGGGTAGGTACAGACAAATCAATGACCAAAATCAGTAATAAATGTTATATCTGAGATAACACTTTCTGAGTAAAGTGGCAGTCTAGATTACATACTTTGTATACCCCTCTGACAAATGTAAATTGGCACGGCTCCAATGGCCGAAAGATATGAACACACAATGTGTCCAGAAAGTGGTCAAATGTAACAAATGTTATATCTCCAGCACACAAAGTCAGCGATCTTACCCACAAAGTACGTAATCTAGACGACCACGACTTGTCTGACTTTCATTTTTGTGGAAGCTTCGGTGGCTGAGTGGGTCAGATCGCTGACTTTGTGTGATGGTGAATAGGTGCCCCACTCTGGCAGTGTGGGTTTGAATCCCAGACGGGATTCAACCCCCAAAAGTACGACAATCTGTACTTTATCAAGAAAGTGTTATCCAAGATATAACATTTGTT